CCTCGAACTCACAGAGATCCGCCTGGCTCTGCCTCCCGAGTGCTGGGATTAAAGGCGTGCGCCACCACCGCCCGGCCCCAGACTCCTTCTTTTTGAGACAAGGTTTCACTACGCAGCTTTGGCTGGCCTGGGGACTTGCCATGTAGAACAGACTGGCATGGAACTCATGGAGATCCACCTGCCTCTTTCTCCTGACTGCTGCTCAGCTGCCCCTTTTTTTCTTTTCTTTCTTTTTTTTTTTTTGGTGGGGGGTGGAGTGGGAGAGTGCTGGAATTAAGGGTGTGCAGCATCACCACCTGGCCTCCTTTATGCCCTGCTTCCATTTTCAAACTTCCTGTTTTGAGGTAGAGTCTCACTAAGTTGCCCAGGATGACGTTGAACTCTTTCTGGAGCCCAGGCAGACCCTGAACTTGTAATTCTCCTGCTTTGACCTGCCAAATAACTGGGATTATAGGCATATAATCCACACTGGTTTAAAGAATAAACTTTAAGATTTCTGTCTCGGAGTTTGTGGTTCAACCCCGGAAGAGTACCAGAGCCATTTTTGAGCAAAGAAGGGAGTGACCCACCTCTTTGCGACAATCCTCACTGATGATTTTGCTGTTATCCAGAATATCTGAAAAAACACAAAACTCCCTTTACTTGCTCCTTAGCAGTTATCATCGTGAGCCCTGCAAGGAAGGCTGAAATGAGACTTACTGTGGGAAGAGGGGCATCGCTGTCCATTGTAAGCAAATCTGCTCAAGGTCATGTCAAAATCAGAAATCACCTAAGAGACCAAAGAGAGGTTACGGTGGCTGAGTAGGCACCTTCCAACCTGGCCTTGCCTCAGCCTGGGCTAACCACAAGTCCAACCAGCCACTGCCCAGTCAGCAGCAGAGTCTTTTTTATTTTTTTTTTGAAAGGCTGTGGAGAGACAGAGAGGGGAAGGAAAGAAGTGATTCCGTGTCAGTACACGAGTTAACCTTGAGGAAAACCAAGTCCCCCGAGTGTGTGGGTGAGTCTCAATGGCATCTTTCTCAAATGCACTGGTTCGTTCTTAAGGTGCCTCCCGACCTTTATGCATCTTCCCCATCCTCAACTTCTTGTGGAGCCAGCTAGCCTAGGGTAGTGGGGCAGCCAGGCTCGACCCATCTCATCTGCTTTCTGAAACCAAGCAGGAGGACCACATCTGACTACTTTGAGAGTTGGCTGTTGGGACAGGTGGGCTCTCTGTCTCCCCCGGCGAGCCAATCTGTTTGCCCATGCCCACTCCGGGGCGCAGGCTCGCAGCGTGCGCACCGGCTCTGGCGGGAAGGCCGCGGGACCCGCACCCTTCCGCCGCCCAGCCCGGCCGTGCCCCCGCGCCCCGGTACCTGCAGGCGGTCTCCTCCGCCCCTGCGAAGGGCGCCCACGATTTCCTGCACCCGCCCGGGCTGCCGCATCAGGACCGTGGCCTTCATCAGACTTTTCACCTGTCGCGAGACCCGAGGGACCCGCTGACCCGAGCGCCGCGATGGGCCCCCGGGCAGCCGGGCCTGCCCGCGCCCGCGATCCCGCCACGCGGGACGCTCCCCACCCGCGGCCTCACCTCCTCCGCCATCGCGCCGACGGCCTGGTGGGCGGCTCCGAAGACGGCGCCCGCCCCCGCAGCCTCACTGCGCAGGCGTCGTCTTCGCTCTAGCAGCGCCGCTCTGGGAGGGGCGGGCCGGCCGTTTCCAGGCAGGCTCAGGATGCTGGTGGGGGTGGGGGGGTTCTACTGTGGGAAGGGGGGTGAGGGGGCAAGGACCAAGATGCTGAGGTCCTGCGCATGGGTTGACTGTCATGAGGCTTTGCTGTGTGTGGACTCCTGTCACTCTTTCTGGAACCCTTTGGCAAAGGGCGGTCTTTCCCTGGATTCGGGTCCTAGCTCAGTGGAAGAGTGCTTGCCTGCATGGATGAGGCCCTGGGTTTCATCCCCAGCATTGCAAACAACAACAACAACAACAAACACCCACCAGGTATCCGTATGCATTCTGGACTGAGGATGCACCCAGGAGACATTTTCCTTAACTGGGCCCCTCATCATCACTAAGCAAAGTAAGCCAATAAGGCATCTTAGGGTCTAGAAGACCCTGGCCAGCCTGACATTTAATCAGCTTTGCTTCTGGCTCTGCACACAGGAGGAGCCCAGGGGGAGCTGTGGAAGGATTGCTGCAGGCATGTGGATTCATCCTGGAAATGCAACAGGAAGTAGGCTCCATAAAGGCTCAGCTGTGCTGGTGGCCACAGTTCTGCCCTAGGTCTGAGGGCAAGGAAGGAGGTGTGGGGTGGTCCATCTGTATGTCCTGGGGGGAGGGGGAGGAAGAAGAAGAAGAAGAAGGGGTAGGAGGGGTTCCAGAACCTGAGAGCACAATCCTGAGTGATCTCACGGCTCAGGATTCTGGAACTTGGGCTGCCTGATGGTCCCTATATGAAAGATGTAGTAGGGAAAAGGAGCGACAGCTGGCTAAAGGGGCCCCCCAGAACCCTCCCCAACACCCCAGGAGAGCAGCCTCTCTCCCCTGGTCCCAAGGTGCCATGGAGATGGAGAACACGGCGGCCTCCACCCGGTTCCACCAGCCTCACATGGAGAGGAAGATGAGTGCGATGACCTGTGAGATCTTCAATGAGCTCCGACTTGAGGGCAAGCTCTGCGATGTGGTCATCAAAGTCAATGGCTTCGAGTTCAATGCCCACAAGAACATCCTCTGTAGCTGCAGCTCCTACTTTAGGTACACCAGGGGCCCGAGCGAAGCCCGAGGGGAGACAGGGCTCCTTTTGAGGTCTTTTCATCTGCTTTTCAGTTTCCCATTTACCATCTTAAAGTTAGGGACATTGAAGCTCTGGGTTCCTTGCAGCCTAGCTGTGCTGCCTTCTAGACAACCACGGGCTAGGGCCAGAGCCTCTGTGTGTGTGTGTCCGTGTGTGTCCTGATGTGTTTTAAACTGGTCTTTAGTCAACATTTGGCAGGTCAGGGGTTTTCTCTCCGATTCTCACCCCAACTTTTAGTTGGACACCTGTGGATTTTGGACTTAACCTAGGTGATATTACTGCTTCCGGTGCCCCTCCTGGCCCAGTCCCAGTAGAGATCACTGAAAGCAGGGAGGTGAATTTTAAGGATAGAGAGGATGGGGAGGGCATAAGGGGAGAGTACCTAGGAAATAGTTTCAAAAGAAAAGGAGTTTTGGCTGCAATTCTTAACTCAGAAAGTGCATGGGGTCTTTCTAAGCTGAAAAAGTCAGGGTTCTCGGTCCCAATGAAAACAGGAGAAATATGTCCATCTTTTGCTAAAAACTCTTATTCAAGCCCAGCTCGGTTGTACAGGTCTATAATCCCATTTACTCAGGCTGAGACAAGTGGATCTCAAGGTCAAGGCCTTGGGGGCTGGGGATTTAGTTCAATAGTAGAAGGTTTGTCCAGCATGCACCAAGTCTTGGGTTCAAGCCCCAGTATTCAAACAGACCACCCACACCAATAACAACAATGAACAGTTCAAAGCCAGCCTAGGAAACTTAGTGAGATTCTGTCTCAAAATAACAATGACAGCAAAGAAGGAAAAAACCACAATGGATGAGAGCTAGGCATTGTGCCAAACCTCTGTAATGTCTGCTCTCAGGAGGCCAAAACACCAAGATGAGTTCAAGTTCAACCTGGCTACAACCTGGGTTGGTTGGTTTGTAACTGGTTCTAGGCCAGCCTGAGAGCTACATACAAGACTCTGTCTCAGTTACGACTGTCTCAGTTGCCCGATTAACAAAACCCCAACCCTTAACCCTAAAAAAGAGCTTTGTTCAGTTGAGGGGCCACGTCATGGCCTGCAGGTCTCATTCTGCCAAATCAAAAACCTAAAAGTTGAAAAAAAAAGTTTTAGCAAGGTGGTGGTGGTGGTGGTGGTGGTGGTGGTGCATGCCTTTGATCCCAGTACTTCAGAGGCAGAGACAGAGGCAGATCTCTGAGTTCGAGACCAGTCTGGTCTACAGAGCTAGCTCTAGGACAACCAGGGCTACACAAAGAAACCCTGTCTCGAAAAACCAAACCAACCAACCAAACAACAACAACAAAAGACTTTATGTATATATGCATGCCTTGCATGTCTGTTTGTGGGTATATGCAGATGCTGGAGCAACGGGTTCCAGTTAGAGGCAGTTGACATGGGTGCTGGGAACTGACTCAAGTCTTCTCCAAGAGCCATGTGAGTACTTAACCGAGAGTCATTTCTGCAGCCCTAGGACTTTGGGTCGGTTGGTTTGTAACTGGTTTGAGCTGTTCTCAAGTATAAGCTTTGTAGGTGACAATGTGGCATTGCAAGGTTAAAAGGTTGGACATGCCTGATTCCACACTCTAGAACAGAAACTACAGAAAGACCGTAAGCCAGGCATAGTGGCTCATGCCTGTAATCCCGGCACTGGAGAGGCTGAGGCAGGAGGGTTAGGAGTTCAAGGCCAGCCTATGCACAGAGTAAGAATCTGTCTCTAAAAACAAAACAAAAAACAAACAGCAAAAAAGATAGTAAATGTCTTTTTTAAAAAATTGCATTTGTTCCTTTATTTTACTTATGGATATTTGCCTGCATGTCTGTCTGTCTGCGCCACACGCATGAAGTGACTGAAGAGACCATAAGGGAGCACTGGATCCCGTGGGACTGGAGTTGGACTGTGGTCAGCTGCCATGTCGGCGCTTCAGCTGGGACCCCGTGTTCTCTGGGAAAGAGAGCCATCTCTCCAGCCCCAAGACAGTAAAATACCCTAAGCTCTACGGGCCATATGCTCTCTTGAAACTGCTCAACCCCGCCCTTATGTCAAGAAGAGTCAAACAGGGCCAGGCATGTTGGTGTCCATCTTTAATCCTGGCACTTGGAGGGCAGGGGCAGGCAGGTCTCTGTGAGTTCTAGGCCAGCCTGGTCTACATAGGGAGTTCCAGGGCTACATGGGTGAGACCATGCCTTAAAAAGAAAAAAAAGGGTTTGGAGATTTAGCTCAGTGGTAGAGCGCTTGCCTAGCAAGCACAAGGTCCTGGGTTCGGTCCTCAGCTCCAGAAAAAAAAAAAAAAAAACACAGACAGGACTAATACAAATTATCTGTGGACCCTGAAATTTGAATACAGTTTTAACTTTTTTTTTTCTTCTCCAAGACAGGGTTTCTCTGTGTGGTCCTGGTTGTCCTGGGACTCACTCTGTAGACCAGGCTGGCCTCAAACTCACAGAGATCCACCTGCCTCTGCCTCCCAAGTGTGGGGATTAAAGGTGTGCGTCACCACCACCACCACCACCACCACCACCACCACCCTGCTTGAATACAGTTTTAAAATGCCACAAACTGTTCCTTTGACACTCTGCCCTCTCCATCGTTGAGACATGTAAAGACAAACCTTGTTTCCTGGGGCAGTATGAGAGCAAGAGGTGAACTGGCATTGAGCTGCATTTGGCAGAGACTGTGGTCGGCAAGCCAGGATCCTGAGGAAGAGTTTGATGCCGAAGCCCACTGGTCCTCAAGCCTCTTAAGACATGTACTTAGTCACGTAGAGAACCTGACATGGCTGTGGTCTTCTGTTGCTTATTTTCTGACTAGTGATATTCTGGAAATTGGAAAGAAAATACAGAGGTGAACATTCCTGTCCTCGGGAGGCTTACTTTTTCCTTTCTTTTCATTTTGTTTGTTTTGTTTTGTTTTGAGACAAAGTTTTTATGTTGCCCTGATTGTCCTAGAACTCACTATGTAGTGCAGGATGGCCTTGAATTAAAAAATCTTCCTGCCTCTGCCTCCAGAGTTTTGGGATTAAAGGTGTGTACTACCAAGTAGTCAATACACATAAACAATTTTTTTTAATCTTAAAAAACATATAGGACTGTCAGGGGCCATCAAGATGAGTCCCTAGTAAAGGTACTTGTTGATAAGCATAATGACCTGGGTTCAATCCCTGGGATCTGCAAGGTGGAAAGAGCACCAACTTCCACACCGAACACTCATGCACAGGAACACACACACACACACACACACACACACACACACACACACACACGCTAGCAAATAAATAAACTTAATTAAAAAAAGATTATCAGAGAAGGCTTTGCTGACAAGGCAATACTTGAATTACCAAGGAGACTAGGACATGGAATGCCTAGTCTTGGGGAATCCTTCCAGGCAGAAGGAGCATAGTAAGGAGGCGGAGTTACCTCCAGTGCACAAAGAATAGCTAAGCAGCCCTCAGGACAGAGGAAGGAGAAGGTGGAGATACCCAGAGCTCACCAGCTTCTGCAGTTCTTAGCTCTGGCATTTCCCTCTTAACAACGATGTCGGGAAGGGTTTTGTTTTTTTGTTTAAGTTATTTATTTATTATGTATACAGTGTTCTGCCTGCATGTATGCCTGCAGGCCAGAAGAGGGCACCAGATCTCATTACAGATGGCTGTTAGCCACCATGTGGGTGCTGGGAATTGAACTCAGGACCTCTGGAAGCCAGTGCTCCTAACCGCTGAGCCATCTCTCCAGCCCCCAGGGGAAGGTTTTGAAGGCAAAGGCGAGTTATATAAGCTCTTTGTAAGGATCGCTCTGGGACTGAGCTGGCTTGTCTAGACACATGGGAGATGTGGTGGGCAGTGAGTTAGGGCAGATTTAGATTTAATTTTTTGTATGAATGTTTTGTCTGCTCGTAGGCCTATGAACCACTTGTGTGCCTGGTGTCTGGAGGCCAGAAGAAGGCTACAGATT